TGTCAGTATTTTTTTTTTTGTTATTTTTGTTTTTTTTTTTCATGCGCCGTATTTACAACAGCCCTGTAGTTTAATATAAATTCTGTAGCGTTTTTAGAAGGGAAAATAGAAAATTTTTTTCTTTTCAACATTTTTCTTGAAGTAAAGAGAAAATTTTTTTTCTTTTTCAAAATTGTTCTATATTTCTAAAATAAAATTTAAGTTTATGAGTGTCTCGATATATTTGAACAAAAAATGAAGCTTTTTTTTTGCTTTCTTTTAATGAATAATACAGTAGATATGTATGTTCCCGTTTCATTTGACTTTTACAATTTTCACAGTACAATAACGCTGTAATTTTGCTCAATTAGCAAAATACAGATATTGAGTTCTTGAGAAAAAGAAATTGAATTTAATTCATGTGGTGCATTCGAAATTTCTTGCTTTTACACTACTTTTTTACGCTACTGTATCAAAAATTTTGACTTTTCTATCTACAACTTTTTCTTCTAATATTTTTCAATTTCAGGTCTTAGAGCAGTTGTCAATTACATCGTTAATTTGAAGCGATTGAGTTTGGATTACACTGTGCTTATTATTTGGTAAGTGCCGGTACTTTTTTAACATTAGTTATGTTGCTTAATCTGAGCGTCATCATGTTTAAATTTCGTTATGGTCATGTTTTATTATCTTTTTTCTTTTTCCTTTTTGTATTTAAAATTATTGGAAAATTTATTGGACGTCAAAACCATATTTATGGTATAGTTTTTAGTACTTTCATCGCTCGCGTTTTTTTTTTTTTTTTTTTTTCTCTGTAAATTGGTTGATAGTTGTCAAAAGTTTTGGAATAATTTTTTGATGTTCTGCATATTCTTTTCAACTTCTAGACAGTAAATGTCCTCGCGCCGTGGCTCGAGGCCGGCTAACCACTTGCCTCATGGCGAGGAGCTACGTCGATCATCGCGCGAGCGACAGATGAAGTATTTAAATCTTTCTGAAGACCTAATAATTCATGAATCGGAACAAGTCCAACATTTTTACAGCAGAAGATTTGGATCTCGGAGCAATAATAGCACAGCACGCTCGGCAAGTTTTATAATGGAGGAAATAATGAATATGAACGAATTAGTTTTTTGAGCTTGAAATTAGTGCTTAATTTGCAGCAGGTTCAAAATGACGGCACTCTGGTATGTAACATTTAGTGTGCTTTAGATAAATAGTACGCCAACCATATCCAGTGCGGCGCGCAATTATTCGTTACGGTCAAAATACCCACGGTATACGGAAGAGTATGACGATGCAAAATTCCATGGTAGTGACGAAGACGAAAGAGAAAATCGTGCTACGATATCCGGAGCTGCCTTACGTCGCACTAGTCGGAGACTGT